AAAAAAAAGAAAGAAATTAGGTACATCAGTCAATAACTCTGCAATATCTTTGCATGGTGACATATTGTAACTAGACATCATGGTGATCATTTTGAAACATACAGAAATATCGAATCACTGTGTTGTGTAACAGGAACTAACATAGTGTTGTAGGTCAATTATACTTCAATTATGAACAAACAAGTAAACTCATAGGAAAAGAGATCAGATTTGTGGCGATCAGAGGCGGGAGACTGGGGGAGGGGGAATTGGATGACGGTGGTCAAAAGGTATAAACTTCCAGTTATAAGATAAATAAGTACTAGAAATGTAATGTACAACAGGATAATTATAATTGACACTGCTCTAAGTTATATATGAAAGTTATTAAGTGAGTAAATCCTGAGTTCTCATCACAAGGAAAAAACTTTTTCTATTTCTTTAATTCTGTATCTATATGAGATGATGGATGTTTGCTAAACGTACTGTGCTAATCATTTCATGATGTATGTAAGTCAAATCATTATTCTGTACACCTTAAACTTATACAGTGCTGTATGTCAAATATATCTCAAAACTGCGAGGAAAAAAAGGAAATTATATACATCAGAAATTATGTACATAAAATGTAAAACAAGAAGTCATGTAATCACGTAAATTATGTGAAAAGGAAATGTGTATGCAGTTCTGTAAAAAGTGGAAATATTATGTCTGAAAAATAGAATAGGAAGAACCCAATGGCGGAATGAAGAATAGAATGGATACAGTTGAAGGCACATCAGTGAGCTGGAAGGGCCTTTGACGTCTCCCCTAGAAGGAAGTAGGGAAGGATGAAGAACACAACATATGAAAAGAATAGTTGGGACTTCCCTGGTGGTCCAGTAGGTAAGACTCCGCGCTCCCAATTCAGGGGGCCAGGGTTCAATCCCTCTTTGGGGAACTAGATCCCGCATGCATGCTGCAACTAGAACCTGGCACAGCCAAAATAAATAAATATTTTTTTTAAAAAAGAAAAGTTACAATAAACAGAGGACAGAAATAGAAAATCTCAGCTCAGATTATAATAATCCCCAAATGATATGCTTTTTTTTTTTTTTTTTTTTGGCCATGCCACACGGCATGTGGGATCTTAGTTCCCCAACCAGGGATCCAACCCTCCGCCCCTGCATTGGAAGCACGGAGTCTTAACCAGTGGACCGCCAGGGAAATCCCAACAGTCCCCAAATGAGATAAAAAGGAAATTAAAAGAAGAAGAAACTTTTTTTTTTTTTTTTTTTTTTTGCGGTACGCGGGCCTCTCACTGTTGTGGCCTCTCTCGCTGCGGAGCACAGGCTCCGGACACGCAGGCTCAGCGGCCATGGTTCACGGGCCCAGCCGCTCCGCGGCATGTGGGATCTTCCCGGACCGGGGCACGAACCCGTGTCCCCTGCATCGGCAGGCGGACTCTCAACCACTGCGCCACCAGGGAAGCCCAAGAAGAAACATTTGGACAAAAATAGTGGAGATAAAATTGCCAGAATTAAAGTAAAAATGAACCACTTCAGCTCAAAGGACCCCACAAACACAAGGTAAAAGACAAGGAAAAGCCCACGTCCAAATAGAGTATTCTTAAAAATATCAAAACCAAGGAGAAACGTATAAACCTTTCCAGGGAGAAGGAGTGGATTACCTACCAGTGTGCGAGACCTAAGATTTCTAACAGCGATACTGGGTACAAGAAACAATGAATAAAGTGTTCAAAGCATTGAAGCGAAATCACCTTGATCCTGGAATTAATATCCTGCCAAATGAAATTCAACTGTAGGGGCATAAAAGTATTTTCAGACACAAGTCTTAATACAGGAAAACCCAAATTAGAACACGTTGGCAGGAAGAATTCAAATAAAGATAACAAAACTAAGAAACCACACACAAGAAATATAGGATACAAAGGTGCTCAAACACCTCAGTAAAATGTGTAC